GCTGCTGCGGGAGCTGCCTGCTCTGCCTGCACCGCCGGGTCAGCCCCCGGGGGGGGGGAGCTGCCGACGGGACCCCCCCGCCGGGGAAGGGGCCAGGGAGAGACAAACCCGGGAGCCGCAGGAAAAGCCGTTTCCCCGCTCGCTTTTCCCGGTGCCATCCCTGTGCTGCACGGCATTTCTCGTTATTTCAGCCACATCCTCTGCCCCCCATCAGCTCCCGGGGGCAGCGGGGACGGGGGGGTCTGCCCTCCCCGTGGGGAAAGGGGCTCTGCCGGGCACGGCCGTGCCAACGCTGGCACCGGGCATGGGGAGAGCTTGGCATTCAAACCAAACGCTGTCAGCCTGGGAAATGCGGCTCCATCTCCCCAAGGACGGGGCCACCTCGATGGAGATGGTGCCGATGCCAGGAGCCAGCGGTGGGGCTCGTGGGTGCCGGTGTTGGGCTCGTGGGTGCTGGTGGTGGGTTCATGGGTGTTGGTGTTGGGCTCATGGGTGTTGGTGGTGGGTTCATGAGTGCCGGTGGTGGTTTCATGAGTGCCGGTGGTGGGTTCATGGGTGCCGGTGGTGGGTTCGTGGGTGCCGGTGGTGGGTTCGTGGGTGCTGGTGGTGGGCTCACGGGGTGCTGGTGGTGGGCTCACGGGGTGCAGGCTCCAGAGTGTGCAGGGGCTGTGTGTCAGGCCGGCTGCAGCGTTAACGCAGTAACTGAGATGACCTCACAGCTTGGCCGGGCTCCACGGCTGCTTTGATGTGGCGTTTGGGCCGCGGTATCTCAGGCTGGCCCAGGAGAGCTCTCAGCCCCTGCCTTTGGACGGGCAGCCCCGACCGAAAGCGCTCTGAGCCCAGATGTTTTGACAAAAACATATTCTAGTGGGGACGGGTCCCGGTGCAGCCAACAGCACAGGTGGACTCTGCCCTTTCCTACCGTATCAATAGTCCTTATTTTTTTCCGTTTGAACAAGGTTCAACGCACGAGGTTCCCTCCTGCCCTTCCAGCCACGTGTTGAAAATAGTAACAAAAAGTAAGAATGGTATAGCCAATGGTATAGCCAATGGTATGGCCAATGGTATAGCCAAACATTTCTGTGTGTCAACAACAAAAAGACTGGCCCTGGCTTTGGCTCAGGTTGTCCTGGATGAGAGGCATTGGGGTTATTTGGATGGTGGGTGCCGGTGGTGGGTTCGTGGGTGCTGGTGGTGGGTTCGTGGGTGCTGGTGGTGGGCTCACGGGGTGCTGGTGGTGGGCTCACGGGGTGCAGGCTCCAGAGTGTGCAGGGGCTGTGTGTCAGGCCGGCTGCAGCGTTAACGCAGTAACTGAGATGACCTCACAGCTTGGCTGGGCTCCACGGCTGCTTTGATGTGGCGTTTGGGCCGCGGTATCTCAGGCTGGCCCAGGAGAGCTCTCAGCCCCTGCCTTTGGACGGGCAGCCCCGACCGAAAGCGCTCTGAGCCCAGATGTTTTGACAAAAACATATTCTAGTGGGGACGGGTCCCGGTGCAGCCAACAGCACAGGTGGACTCTGCCCTTTCCTACCGTATCAATAGTCCCTATTTTTTTCCGTTTGAACAAGGTTCAACGCACGAGGTTCCCTCCTGCCCTTCCAGCCACGTGTTGAAAATAGTAACAAAAAGTAAGAATGGTATAGCCAATGGTATAGCCAATGGTATGGCCAATGGTATAGCCAAACATTTCTGTGTGTCAACAACAAAAAGACTGGCCCTGGCTTTGGCTCAGGTTGTCCTGGATGAGAGGCATTGGGGTTATTTGGATGGGAGGAACATTAGGAACCGCTGCTCCATTTTCTCACTCAAGGGAACATCCCCCCTGTTTCAGAGCTGTGGGGTGACCGTACCCCCAGCCCTCCCTGCTGTTTCCCTGCCTCCCCTGACCCCCCTGTTGTGGTTGGCATCGGCAGCTCTGAGGCTGGGGGGGGCCTGGCTGCTGTTGTCCTGCCAAATTTATCGTCGTGTCCTTTCTGCCCGTCCCGGAGCCAGCACAGAGCAAACACTGGCTGCAGCCACAGGCTCCTGCCCTGGTCACAAACACAAGGTCCCTGCTTTGGCCAAAGCCCAGATGCCAACGGTCCCGCAGTGGGACCCACACGGAGAGCCTTCGGGAAGGGGGATGGGGACCCCTGTCCCCCCCCAGCCAGCTCTGCCTCCTCCTGCCCGGGGAGCCCCCGCTGCAGCCGATCCCGTGTTATTTCCCAGGCTTTTGGCTCCTGCTCCTGCCCCAGAAGCTCCGGGGCCCATCAATAATGGATACCTCTTGAGGTTGTTTGGAAGCAGAGTGAATAATTAACCATCGAGCTGCCTTCTGCCCTGAGGAAGGGGTAGGTGCCTCCCCCGCTTCCCCTGACACCCACCCCTGTGCCAGCAGCACCCCCCTGGGCAGCTCAGCCCCACTGCCCCCTCCCCAGCAGCCCCTCTCCCCCCCGCACCCCCATCACGCCACAGAGAGGATTTACGACGCACACACAACTTTCTGCCAGTCTGGGTTAAAGTGAGACCCCCGAGACCCCCCCTCCCAGAGTTTGGTTTCATCCCTCTCCTGGGAGCTGGGCTGCAGGGACGGCCCAGCAAGCGCTGCTCAGCCCAGTACAGGCTGGGAATGGCACTGGGGGGGAAAATCCACCCCCCGCTCCTGCTGCCCTGCCAGCTCCCAGCCTCTGAGAGGAAAAGGAAACCCCAGTTGCTCCCCCGGAGACACACACACACCCAGCCTGCAAACTCGGCCAGGAGTTAACTGGGAATGTGCCACCAAACACTCGGGAAGGGGCTGCGAAGCCCCCGCGGGGCTGATGCTGTGCCGGGGGGGACACACCGGGGGATGCTGGAGGAGGCACTCACCTGCCGGGTTGGGGTGCAGGGGACCAGGCGGTGGTGACAGCAGCAGTGCCATGGGGACAGCCAGGAGGGACCACTGCCAACCTGCCCCGGGTGGGCAGGGGTCACCCAGCCCCTCTCCCCGCTCCCCCGGGGCATGCAGCCCCCGCAGCGATGCACCCACCCCCCCGTGCCCTGTCCCCACTCACGGGCAGCGTTCCTCAGACGGGTACGGGCATCGGGGCTGTGATGGATCCCAGGAAGAAGCTGGCATCGGCCGCGGGCGCCGCGGTGCAGGGGGACGGAGGTGGCACCACGACTGGCAGCGCGGCCACCGCCGCTCGGCGCCCACATAGGACAAGGAAGTATGGATAATCCTTCGCCTGGCTATTTTTTTCCTCTCATGTGATCTTGTTTTTGGACTGCTATTTTGGGGCTGGACTCCAGCCCAGGTGAAAGACAAGGATCTAAGCCAGCCTGCCTCCCTCATCGCCCGGGGGCCTCCCAGGACCTCTGCCTGCCCGCCCCGAGGAGGGGGTTCAGCCCTGCTGCCCTCCCGTCCCTGCTTCCCAGCCCTTCCCCTCTCTCGCTGAGAATTCCCTGGAATGTTCCTGTGCAGTGGGAGGATGATGGCAAACGGGCTGCGCTGTGCCCGGCTGCCCCCTGCCCCGTCCCATGGGCACCCTGTGCCCCCCAGGACTGGGCTCAGCTGCGGAGTCAAACCCTCCCCAGCACCCGTTTGCCCTCCTTCTGCCCGTCCCCCCCCAGAAACAGCCTGTCAGGAAGCTGAAGGGAGATAAATTTTTAAAAAATGCTCTCAGTTTGCAGCAGCCTTGGCATAAACTGGTGTGGGGCCCGACCCCACAAACCACTAATTGTCCCCCCTGGGTGTTGGCTACGAGCGACCCCCAGGGAGGGGGCTGCCAGGGGTCCCCTCACACCACGTGTGGGAGACCAGAGCCTGCACCACAGCGTGTCCATCCCTGCCCCAGGACCTCCTCTGGAGACAGGTCCTTGGGGACACAGAGTCATAAAGTCACAGAATGGTTTGGGTTGGAAGGGACCTTAAAGCCCCCCCAGTGCCACCCCCTGCCCTGGGCAGGGACACCTCCCACCACACCAGGTTGCTCCAAGCCCCCTCCAACCTGCCCTTGAACCCCTCCAGGGATGGGGCAGCCACAGCTTCTCTGGCCAACCTGGGCCAGGCTCTCACCACCCTCACACCAAACAAGTTCTTCCCCACAGCTCAGCTCCATCTCCCCTCTTGCAGGGTCAAACCCTTCCCCCTCCTCCTAGGGCTCCCCTCCCTCATCCAGAGTCCCTCCCCACTCCCTTTCAGGTGGGTGGCAGGAGGAGTGGATGCTGTCACAGCGTATTTAGTTGCCTAATTTGGGTCTTTGCAGGAACTAAAATGGGAGCTGAGGGAGCTGGGGAGACTGGAGAAAAGGAGGCTGAGGGGAGACCTTCTCGCTCTCTCCAACTCCCTGAAAGGAGGGCGTAGAGAGGCGGTGGTCGGTCTCTTTTCCCAAGTCACAGGTGACAGGACAAGAGGAAATGGCCTCAAGTTGCACCAGGGGAGGTTCAGGCTGGATATTAGGAAAAATTTTTTCACTGAAAGGGTTCTCAGCCCTTGGAATGGGCTGCCCAGGGAGGGGGTTGAGGCACCATCCCTGGAGGTGTTCACAAGACGGGTTGATGTAGTGCTGGGAGGTCTGGTTTAGTGATGGTGTTGCGTTTTGTTTGTTGTGTGGGTGTTTATTTTTTTCTCAAAATTAGGTTGACGGTTGAACAAGATGATCTTGAAGATCCCTTCCAACCTAGAAGATGCTGTGATTAATCACTTTTCTGTGAAATAAGGAATCTCTCTGGCGCCCATGAAATGCCCTGTTCTCCCAGGGGGTAGGACAGAAGCTCTCACTGGCCCAACACCTCCCGGGCAAAAGCTTTTCTTTCTCACTCTCTGCAAACCAGAGCGTTATGACAACAACAGCCTGCCACCCAAAGCTCCTGAGCGGCCACCTGTCCCCTCTGGGCCGATGTCTGTGCCTGGGCTGGAGGAGAAAACATTTACTTTACAAGCGCAGCAGAGATTTTAGCGGAGGAGGGAGGGAGGGAGGGGGTGATGATGGAGCAGAGGGAACCCTGCGGGCGGGGGCCGGCGGGGCCGCCAGGGGGCGCTAGGGGGCCGCGGCGCGGGCACAGCTGGATGCGGGGGGGAGGCACAGCTGGATGGGGAGGGGCACAGCCGGGCACAGCTGGATGGGGGGGCACAGCTGGATGCGGGGGGGCACAGCCGGGCACAGCTGGATGGGGGCACAGCTGGATGCGGGGGGGCACAGCCGGGCACAGCTGGATGGGGGCACCGCTGGGGGATGCGGCACAGGTGGGAGAGGGAAAATGGGGGGGCTGTGGCACCGAAGAGGGAAGCAAGCACCGCTGGGGAGCACAGGTGGGGCACAGCTGGAGCAGGGGGATCACAGCTGGGGCCAGGGCACAGCTGGGGGGGCCACATCACAGCTGGCTTCCACGGGGCATCCGAGGCCCATGCAGGTGATGGTGCTCGCAGCTGCAGCATCCACAGCTGGAGCACATCTGGGTGGCCGCTACAGCCCAGGCGGCAGCGTGCAGGGCTGGCAGGGTGCACATCTGGCAGAGCACCCATCTCCGGGGGCCACAGGGCCCAGGCTACCTCTGCTGGCTCCTGAAAGCCGCTGCGGGCTGGGGTTCGCTGCCTGCGGCACCCGCAGGTGGGTCAGGCCTCTCTCTCTCTCAGGTCGTGGCGGAGGCAATTAGGAAGGAATTGAAGATAGGCAGGAAGACTGTTTCTCATTAAGCCCATCCCGTTCACCCTGATTTCTGTCAAACCCTCTCAGCCTCCCCGCCAGGCGCCCGGTCGAGTAATTCTGTTTGTCTTTTCCGTGCTCCTTTGCTCTGCTCCCAGCCCCGGCGCCTCCGCCAGGATCCCTTTGGTCTTTTCCAGCCACCGTTTCCCAGGAGGGAGCACCCCCTCCTGAAGAATGACTCCCATCCTTTGTTTCTTCACGGGTGACCTTATATATTGAAACGAATGTTGTTTACTTGTGCTCAGCACTAGTTTAAAGTCAAGAGCCGATTCCCAAAGGTCTCTCCTGGATACACTAACCAAATGAGGAATCTTCTCCTGTAATTGCGTTTCGGGGCCAGCAGACATTTTCTGATTCATTTAATATGTGCCATGGTGCATTTGTTACAAATCAGATCCATAACAGAAGCCCTTTTACCTTGAAAGTACTGCTGTTATCAAGTACTGACTTAATTACAGCTTTATCTAAAAATAGATCAAATTAGCTTGACAAAATCCATTTTTCCTGCCCCCCTGCTGCCCGACCTTGTTTCCCCCCTCCAGCTCCTGCTCCACGGAGCCCAGCATCAATCGGCTGCCGTCGCCCGTTCCCACCATCACGGGTGCTTTTCACTCCTCCTGGTCTCCCAAAACTTGCCCAACGTTAACACAAAGAGCCCGGGAGGCTCCTCCAGGCTCCGGTTGCCCAACTCTCTCCCCCCTTTCCACCTTTGGGAGCTGCTGACACCCCGGGAATTCCAGGGGCAGGGAAGCAGCTCAGCACCCGCCGCTTCTGCACTTTTCCAAGCTTCTTTTGTTTACCAACTCCCCCCTCCCCGAGGTATAAGGCCTGTAGCCCATATCTGCTCGTTATCATCACTTTCCTCTTTCCTCTGATTGTTCTGTGGTTCCCATGGTGTTGGTGGCTGCCCCCCCTCCCCTGGCAGCCCAGCCAAGGCAGCTTTCCTCCCGCCTGGAAAACCGCTCTGCTGGCCCCAGCGGCGTCTGTCCCCGGCCTTGGAGGCTCTGAAGGGAAGGTGGAAAAGTCCCATCGGTGTGTGTCCCCATCAGAGCATGTGTCACCAGAGCTGTCCCGGGGGTTCCTGCACTGTCCCTCTGCTGGGTGTGACATGGGGGGGGAGTCCCAGAGCTGCAGCTCTGGGGAAAACACCACCCCTGGGAAGAGCTGCCTTCTCCGGACATGTCCCTGCAATCCCCCACCACCCACCAGCATCTCCCCCGAACCCCCCCTGCCTCGGGAAGGGCTCCCCACCCCACAGACGCTTCCAGAGCCACCTGAGGACCTTCCCCGGGGGGCACCCTGGGGCTGTGCCCCATGGGCTTCTCCCCACAACACCCTGGCACCCAGCCCGGCCCCACGGGATGCAGCAGGTGCCAGCCCGGTGGGACTGGGCAGCAACCACCTCGAAAATGCAATTTGCTGCGTCTGGGGAGCTGATCGCCCGTCCTGCCACATTCATACCGGTTTTAATTCTATTTCCCACATGTTTGACAACGGAAACAGACTTTCCTCTCCTCGTTTTGGCATAACACGGGGTCCTGCGGGGCTGGGTGCTGGGGGGGCTGGACCCCCGGTGGTCACTGGGCTTGAAGGACCCATCTCTCTCTCCGTGTCAGTGGTTCATCTTCCTTCTTGCACTTTGCTGCCTTAAGAAGGTTTTTTCCCCCTCTCGGGGTGTGCGGGGGGAGGGAGGGCAGCCCAGGGACCCCGAGGCAGCAGCTCCTTCAGGGGCATCCCCTCTGCTCATCGTGCCATTCGGATTTTCCCATCTGAACCCCGGGGAGGAAAACAAAACTGGGGCTTCAGTGTCTGGGGGCTGCTCCAGGAGATACCTCACTGCCCAAAATCTCCAGGAATTCCTGGTTTTGTCTTTGTCAGCTCAGCCACTTGTGCAAATAGTGTCAGCCGGGGCCGGCCGCACAAAGCAAGGTCGGTTACGAGCCCTTCTCCTGGAACGGAGGCACTTGGAGCCGGCACAAAGCAATCTCTGTCTCTCCCCTTCGCTGGCATCCTGGCAATTCACCCAGAAAATCACAGCTCCTCTTGGGTGCTGGGTGGGGGGCTGTGGGGGGCGCGGGGGGCAGCTCTGCAGGCCGGGGGGGCTGGCTGTG